TTGCCGAGAGATTATCTGCTGACAAGAAGGAGCCTGTGTTTGAGGATCTTTGAAGAATCAAACGGGCTTGATCGCAGGGCATGAGGTCCAGGCTTGATGTCAACATCTGAGGGCGATACTTGGCGAGATCTGATCTCCTGTCAAGCACCGACTTGGAAGTCCAGAGACTTGCTTGCATGTCTTATGTTAGCAGTCCTTGATTGAGAATAGATCGATATTTCGTGAAACACACCATCGAGCTGCTTCTGATTCCTTTAGGACCAGGGAATACGACGCTCGTGACTTACATATCACGAAACGTATGATTGCAGCCAAGTTGAGGCGGTGCTCAGCAGCTTATTGACGACGACAGGTATGGAAAGCTACGTTTGGCTCTTGATGGCATGAAGAAACGATGAGAACTTGGACTCTTGAACGGCATCCCGTTGTAGTCGTTCCTATGGGGTTGGTGGTCATCGCTTCTGCTTTCCATATAATTGATCGACCACCGATCATTCTTTACTCCGTGACTATGGGCATTAACATCGCCCCGAGCCAAGACTCGGTAGGCGATGAATAGCCATAAGCCTCTATTAAGTCTTCTCCTACTTGCCTAGACTTGCCAACTTGGGAAAGCTGGCGTTAATGAGAACAAACAGACTCATGAGACCTGGACCCCATGAACCGGCCGTAACAACAGGCCGTCATCTTTAACTGTATTTTCATCTATCCTATCAGATGCACCAGCAAACCAAAGTCCCAGCCGAGGCGTCGTACACAAAGGTGGTCAATGTCACCCCAGAACTCAGTTGTCGGGATTCAAAGTTGGGGTCGACGGGTTGAACGCGGGGTCGACAGGCATTTCGCAGGATGCTTCGGCCAAGTTGATGTTTTGTCGATTAGTGATTACTTACATGCAGTGGTGAATCTGCCGAGGCTCCCTCCGCGAACTTCAGACAGGAGACATATAAGTAGAATGACAGAAACCGATAACAACCGCTGTTTACGTTGCATCATTGACGGCAATTTCACCTTTGATAGTAAATCACAAGCACTCATAGTACAGATTCGCAAAAAACAATGGTATCATCCCCAAATAAGCTGCCCGAATCATACACTTCGTTCAACTACGATGGCCTACTCGTCTCCCATGTCCCAGCGAGCTCCTCATCCGTTACAAAGGTCATCATGGTCACCCTCAACCGGCCCAAAAAGTACAACGCCATGAAGGGAGACATGTTCACCGGCCTCGAGGTGATCTTCAACACCGTCAGCGAGGACCCGCGGGTCCGCGCGGTCGTCATCACGGGGGCAGGCAAGGCGTTCTCCGGAGGGGCGGACCTGGATGTTGGGTTTATGGGTATGATGGCCCTCAAGGAGACGGAGGAATCGATGAGGGATTTTAGGGATTGGTGAGCCTTGCCTGATTCCAAAGCCATAGAAACAGTAATCCCGCAGCATACTTAACGCGAATTCGGACTGATGCATACTTCACTCTTCACACAGGGGCGGACGCGTCGCGCTGGCAATCTCAAACTGTAAGAAACCCACCATCGCCGCCGTCAACGGCCCCGCCGCCGGCGTCGGTCTGACAATGATCCTCCCGGCCACGATCCGGGTAGCCTACGAGGGCGCGCGGTGCGGCTTCCCCTTCTCCCGGCGCGGTCTCGTCCTCGAATCCTGCAGCGCCTTCTTCCTCCCGCGCCTCATAGGCCTCTCGCGCGCCAACCACGTCGTCGCGACGGGGGACATGTACCCCGTCACGGATCCGCTTGTCAGCGGGCTGTTTTCAAAGTTTTTGCCCTCGCCGGGGGAGACGGTGGAGTACGCGGTGAGGTTAGCGGAGGATCTGGCGGAGAATACGTCGTTGGTGAGTGGTAAGTTGATGAGGGATATGATGGTGTATTGTCCGGCTTCGCCTGAGGGGGCGCACGTGTTGGATTCGAGGGTGTTTGTGCAGCTTGCTGGGACGGAGGACAATGTTGAGGGGGTCAAGAGTTTCTTGGAGAGGAGGAGGCCTGAGTTTACGGGGTCTGTTGATCGGGAGAGTGTTCCGTTCTGGCCATGGTGGGATAGGGATGATGGGCGGTTTGTGAGGCAGTTTCAGAAGGCTGCTAAGCTTTGATGAGAGTAAGTGGTGAGAGTGAATGGTGAGAGTGAGTTGAGACACATCGTGTAATTCTGTGAAACTGGGCAAGATAAGTAGATTGATTGACAGCCGAAATCGGGAATTTCTACACGTATCTAAGCATTTTACTACCTCTTGAATATCTTCAGTTGAGTGTTACCAGAGTCTATAGTGGGGTGATCTCTGCATTGTGTTAGTCTGGACTCGAGATTCGACAAGTTCATGATACGGTTACTCATGTGAATAGCAATTCGTCTTCAGCCCCAAACTTTCGACGTGGTCTAGAACTTCGCCCTTCAGAAGCTTAAAGCTCTCTCATCGTGATGAAGGTAAGAAAAGAGTGACACACTCATGTTTACATGTGAGCGCACGAGGTGTGACAGGCGTCGTCCAGCGCATCCGCTAACGATTTAAGCACCGTGACACCCTAGTCCCGATCTTTAGGATCTTCTTGGGGGTGGATCCCCCGGATCGATCGCTAGTAGCTTCCCCCTGGGCGTAGTGGGCGCAGGTGAACAACAAAGAGGCGCTTTGCGGGTGGTGACCTCATTAAACTCAATGTCACAGCGTCATAGACGCCATAGCTACACATTTCTCGTCCCATATTTGACCCGCACGCGTCCGCATGCCAGCTGGGATGTCCATACTGATGTGATGAGATAACGAATCTCTCCTTTGACATTGATGGCATCTCAGGATCCCAATCGTGACCTTGAGCAAAACGGCTCCAAAACCATGTCGCAAAACGGAAATACAGGCAAGGATGGGCGGAAGAGGGTCCTCGTTGTCGGCGCCGGTGCTGCTGGGTAAGCAAAACTGTCAAGACGAACGATTGTAATTCGCACGGCGAGAGACTCACATGTCGTAGCATGTCGACAGCGTACCATCTCTCGAACCACCCGGACAAGTTCGATGTGACCCTCATCGACTCGGTCGATTACTGCGGAGGACAGGCCTTTTCGATGCCCATTAACAAGGAGCGACACGGCGCGAGCTGGTTCAACCAGGGTGTACAGGGCGGCAGCTACATCTTCCACCACACGCTGACCATGTTCGCCCGCCAAGGCTACCACGCGGATCCCGTCAAGCTTCAGGTCTCCTTCGGTAAGGACGATAAGTTCTGGACCAACGTCTTCCCGACCGAGTTCATCGAGAAGCACCAGGCCGAAGTCCGCAGACTGGCTTTCATGCTCAAGATTATGAGATGGTTCGAAGTTTTTTTCGCATTACTGCCGTTGAAAGTTGTCTTCAAGCTGTTTCGATTTTCAGACGAGTTCACAAACGTCGTGGGATTGCCCATGACTGCTCTCTTCCTTGGTACTGGCAACGCGACGCCAGAGGTGCCCGCCATCATGCTGGAACGTCTTTGTACTTCGCCAACTTACGGAATGTGGTACCCCGCCGACCCGAACAGCGTCGCCTCCAACCAGCCGCCAATGGTCGTCTTCCCCAACTTTACCGATTTCTATACTACCTGGAAGAAGGACCTTGAGTCTCGAGGCGTGACTGTTCGCTTGTCGACGGAGCTCACTGAGGTTGTCCACCGCAACAAGCGCGGCGTCCTCGTAAAGACCAAACCCCGGACCCCCGTGGAAGACGGACATAACCCCGTTGGCGGCGACCCAGACGCAATCGAGTCAGAGGAACACTACGACGAGATCGTCATGTGCGTCCTTGCCGACACCGCTAAGAAGATCCTGGGCAAGACCTCATCATGGCGCGAGCGTAAGGTGCTCGGCTCGGCTACCTTCTCCGACGATATCACAATTACTCACAACGACGCCGACTACATGAAGAAGTACTATGAGAACTTTTACGACGAGAAGAAGGCTGTAAAGACACTCGGCAAGAAGGGCGAAGTTGACGAGTCATCCCGCCTTGCGTTCGCCAAGGACAACTTTAGACCCATGTACTACATTCGCATGTACGACGATGACCTTTCCAAGCTGGAGATGTGCTTTGACACCACCAACTACCAGTCCCAGTTCCCCGACAAGGTTCCCTTTGAGCAGCACGTCTTCCAGACCATCTACCTGAACAAGGACCGCGACCGCAAGCACTGGACCGACAGCGAGATTGACAAGGACAAGATCATCCGCGCCGACTGGTGGCATCAGCTTTGCCACACATGGAAGCACTACACCTTTGTCGTACCGTGGATGATGTTCCTCCAAGCCAAGAAGCGCGTCCGTTTCGCAGGCTCATGGACTCTGGTCAATGCGCACGAGGTCGCCATCATGTCTGGTATTGCTGCCGCTGTCGACATGGGCGCGGATTACCCCGAGGATTTGGAGCACGACAAGTTTGCGCTCTTGTGCTTCAGGCTCTACTATCTGTTGGCGTATGGGAAATGGTATCGTCGCAAGTTCAAGGACAGCAAGAGCCAGAAGGCCAAGGATGGCGCGAGCTGGGCTTCTGGGTTATATGGCAGTGTGTACAAGGGTCCTGGTGTGGCTGAGCAGGAGAGGTCGGTTTGGAGGGAGGAGGTTAAGGCAGGGCGAAGCACGGAGAACCTGGCGGATGGGAACAACGGGCGGAGTCAGCCTTAGAATCGAGGACGTGGTAGTGGATATAGAGTCTTTTGTATGAAAACAAGAGGAGACTTGCTGATCAATGACAAACTATATCACCTAGCTATTTTGCCGTCACAAGGAAATAATCGTGGGAAGCCTGAAGGGAAAGATCTCAACCAACCAGTTACCTTCACTGGCAGACGGGCATATTCGGGAACTTTAAGATTCCCATGGCGGACACAAACGCCGGTCCCACCGTACAAGAGCCAAAACACGGGGCTTCCATGGAGCCCACCTCACCAGCAGGATACCTCTTGTCGTCCACCACAAGCTGCGTACCGCAACCGAGTGTCTCTCGATACGGCACGAAATCTTCAAAACTAAGCTTTCACCCCGCACAGCACAAATGAGACCCTGAAATTGTTCTGGGCCAGGTCGCAAGTGCCATCAATCTTAAATTCGTCGATACGGACCGAGTTGTGGCCGCAGAGATCGTCGTGCTTGAAGGCGACGTAGCCAAAGTCGTTGCACCCTTCTATAAAGGCCGCTGACCAACCCGCAAGGCATATCTCGCCTGACGGCGCCGGCTCAGGCTCGGGTTCCCTGGTGGCGGTGGGCTCGGCCGGAATGCCACATCCGGTCCCAGCTCCGGCCTTCCGGGTCCGATGCCGCCGCCAACTCTTCTCAACTTCCCGAATCGTTCGGCTTCGTGTCAGCTTTTCTGTCAAGGATTCTTCAGTTACCTAAAGTAGGTAGGTATCGCCCACCGGCTGGATCCACCAGATGTCAAGATACACAAAGAATAATAATTAGAAAGACGAAGGGCTCCACATACAATTTGTTGCCTTGCGGCGGTGAATTACCTCCACATCGGCAACCTCAAGCATATTCTTCTCAGCAGGGAGTAATTTGTGTCAGATAGTCATTTCGTCTTTACTCGTTTGCTAGCTTAACGAAACCTTTCCGCTGCAACGGTAAGCATAGTCTTCTATACAGGGGATGTTCTTATGTCAGATATTTGATTTAAACTTCGCTCGCTTGCTGGCTTGGCAAATCATGTAAGCCGATGTGCATGTACAAGTGAGCCAGCGTCGTCCGGATAGGGCAAGCAAAATCAAGATGCATTTACTCTGGGCGCTATGTTTCGTGCAAGGAAATATCTTCGACCCTCAGCCCCGAGTCCAGACACCTCCAGATTCTTTTGACCCGCTGTTTGTGCTTGACAATGGATTCAGCAGTCCTGGTTCTGGCCCATGACTGGCTCTGACTGCGAAGAGATCAGGGCCTCATCGGCTCTGAATTCCCTCAAGTAATTTGCCATTTATAAAAAAACAAAAGCAGAAAATACCGCAGGACAATTATACAAACTAGGATGTTGATTAGCCAAGACAAACTAACGAATAACCTAAGATCTCACTTCAACTATGTTCTGCTACGCTCTCTTAGGCAGCTGCTTTTGACAGCCCATACTCCGGAATCAACAGCGGATGTTAGCAAAGACGTGCAGTGCAGTCTTTCACCTCGCAAACAATCCTTTGTCTATCGAAGTCTCTGCGCATAGGTTCAATTGTTAGGAGTCAAGTATATAACTTGTGTCCCCCATTGTTAGTCGGTCCATTTGATGTATTAGCCCGAAAGCAAGCTGCTAGATTCTCAGCAAAAGACACTATCCTTCGCAAATATGTCGTTATCCACATCCTCGCGACGAGGGCAGCATGCTCTAGCAAAAACTGCTCTCTGGCTCCTTGGGGCAGCACTTTTCTCGCCCTCTCATGCTCTTACGCTGAGACAGAGTGCCGAGCCCCCTACGAAGCTTCCGGAATGGGCTACGGAGAACGATCTTCGCCACCAACCAGCTCTTGGTAAGATCGCTTCTTGCAACAGAGCTGGTAGCTGCCTGTTTTCCCACTGCTAATATCTTTTCAAGACTTTGATACTGATGGCTGCTACAATGTGCCTGCTATTGGCTGCGACAAGCGTGTTTCTGAGGGTTTATCTGAAGGTAGTGGCGAGTGGCAAGGGTGCCGTGACGAGGCTGATCTTGACAACTCCAACGTTTAGTAAGTTAGCTCCTCGATTATCGTTCACTCGACTGTTTGATGCTGACCAGATTGGCCGTAGCTCACGGCAGCGATGTAATAATGGCTGGTGTGCTTACATGTATGACTATTACTTTGAGAAGGACTACGCTATTGGGCCCGGTACTGGACACCGCCACGACTGGGAGCATATCATTGTCTTGGTTCCAGATGACAGCACCGTACAAAAGATAGTATGTGCCTCGGCACATGGCGGTTACGACTGCAAAAATGCGGACGAGGTGCGATGGCACAATGAAGTCCATCCCAAGGTATGATAGTAACTCTGAACCCGTGGTCGTTCATCGCCTAACGTGTATTGATAGATTGTTTACCATAAAGACGGGCCCTCAACACATGCCTTCCGATTCGCAAATGAAGCGGATGACCAATTGGAGAATCACAAAAAGGAGTGGCAGCTTGCTGATTTGGTCAGTTGGAACGGGTTCCCTACGCCGGATCATCGCAACATTCTGGAGAACCATAATTTCGGAAGTGCAAGTTTCGGGATAGGTCATCAGTTTGCGGACAATTTGGGGAAACTCGTTGATCGACAATGTGACCAGCACCCTAGTGGTCAAGTCATTTGTACCAATCCTCTTCTCCGGATTGAGTTTGACAAAGACATCGACGAGGGCTCGCCTGGCAACCTGCCTCCTAACAACGGATGCAATCCTCCCTCTGACCCTGAGCCCGAGCCTGAACCTGAGCGACCAGACCTGCGTGTGCTGCCTTTAGGAGACTCGATTACCAACGGCTTCGGTAGCAGCAGCAACGCCGGGTACCGTGGCTACTTCTACAACCTCGCCACTGAGGTTCACAACGTTGTTGGCATGATCGGTTCCGTTCGGTCAGGCGATGCCGACGATGCCGACCACGAGGGCCATAACGGTGCCACAATCGCCGAGATTTCCGGGTACGCAGAGCGCGTTCTCTCACAGCGGCCCAATGTTGTTCTGCTACATGCGGGCACCAACGACATGGGCAGCGATGCTGGTGCAGTTGGAGCTGTTAACCGCCTGATGAACCTGGTGGACATGATCATCGCCAAATGTCCCGATGCAACCGTGCTCGTGGCCCGCATCATACCATCCACCTCCACAAGCATGCAAGCTCGTATCAACGCCTTTAATGACGGCGTTGAGGATGCTATGAACGCCCGCGCGGACGACGGCAAGAAGGTGCTAGTCATTCGCATGGACGAAGCTGTCGGCACGGCGGATCTGATCGACGGGCTGCACCCCAACGATCTAGGCTACATTATCATGGCTACTAACTGGTGGAACGGCGTGCAGCAGGCATTCGAGAATCGCTGGATCGACGATCCTGTTGCGGGTCAGCCTCCGGACAACGGCGGTGGCGGTGTCGTGTGCGGGACGGTGCCCACCTGGATCCCTCAGGGCACAGTCGCGTCCGGCGGTGGGCTCGGAAGCGCGGCCCTCGGAAATAACGCCACTGCTGTCTTCATGGCGGATATTGACGGCGACGGGCGGGACGACTACCTTCACGTCGGTGAGAACGGCGAGGTTTACATGTACTGGAATATTGGCAAAGCTCCCGACGAGGGTCCAAATGCTGGTAAGGTTCAGTGGCAACCTGTCGGTGTTATTGCGAGTGGTGGCGGGGCACAGGGACACCAGGTTCGCTTTGCTGATATCGATGGTGATGGTCGTTCCGAGTTTATCTGGGTCAAGGATTCTGGATCTGCGACGGTGTGGTGGAATAGGGGCTTCGCCTCTGATGGCCAAGTCAAAGTTATCTGGGGTCCAGGCGCCGGCGAAGAGATCGCCACGGGCATTGGAGACGGCCAAGGTAAGTCGCTACTTTACTTCAGTCACTGCTTTCTTCGGTTCAAAACCAAAACTAACCTCAACTTTGATGTATAGGTGTGCGCTTTGCTGATATGAATGGCGATGGCAAAGCGGACTTCATCCACCTCGCAGAGAATGGCGCGGCTACCCTATACATCAACCAAGGGCGTCGCGAAACAGGCGGCTGGGGATGGTGGAACTGGGGCGTGATCGCTAGTGGAGTCGGCACTAGCCGTGAGAATATTCGTTTTGCTGACTTGAACGGTGACGGTCGTGATGACTACATCGCCGTTGAGAGTGCCACAGGCGGGCTGAATGCGTGGTATAACCGCGGCCCGCAGAGCCAGAACTGGGCTGCCGTCGCTCCCTTGGTGTGGTGGAACCCGGGATCAATCGCTTCCGGAGTAAGCTATTTACCAAATTGGTCAACCTCGAATATGGTGACGTTTGGGGACTTGAATGGAGACAGTAGGGACGAGTACTTATACATTGGAGTCGAAGATTCGAGTGTTTATGCATTCCTCAATGGATGCTGAGAAGTAAACGTAACATTCTAGATAAGTAGTTCTCATATCTAAACTTAGTACTCACTTCAGTAATGATATTTCACCCCTGCCTTCCAGGAAGACCAAGGCAAGATGGCCGAGCGATGTGAAGTCGTCCAGTCTCTTCTCTCCCTGCCTGTCAACTAGAAAATCTTCAAGTCGGCGACTGGAGCTGCAGAAGATGGATGTCGCGCGAGACTGCGAAGCTCGACCCGTTGCTACTCAGGATACAAACCCGCCAGGAAATCCAAGGCAAGATGGCCGAGCGGTCTAAGGCGCTAGCTTCAGGTGCTAGTCAAGTAATTGGCGTGGGTTCGAATCCCACTCTTGTCATATTCCTTTTGATTTTTGACCCTATGGATAACTATGTCCATCAGCTCACCATTTTAGCATAAAACCAGCCGTTGAAACTCATTGTGGTTGACATTGAAGACATTTTCAAAGTTGGCCCTGGACATCGGCCGGCCAGCAACGGCTTTGGGTCCCACTTATGCCGAGTCCGGGCTTCCGCTCTGATCCAGCACTGTTTCCGTGCCAGAGTAATGATCTCTTCACTCCAGCCATGATACAAGGAATAGCAACGTTTTCGAATAGGGTGAAAACGATTGATAAATATTGCAGACTGGCCCTTATCTGGCCTTCATTTGAATCTTAATCTTCTGCGCCACCTGCTCGCTGTTCCAAGTCTCTTGCTGTTTCTTCGCCTTGGCTACCAGAGCCCTCTGTTGTGGGAGCGGCAAGTGCGACAAGACCTGTCGATCGGCTGGGCGAAGCGTGGCTAATTGCTTCTCAAAATTTCCGTTCCGCTTGACGGCTGCTGCCGTCAGACCCTTCTTGCTATCATCACTTGCTGTCAAGGCTGTCGATGCGTCTTCTCTTAGTGAACTTTTACCAACCAGCAGTGAGTCGCTGGATTTCCTCTGGCCTTGAGTAGACTTCCGGTGATTTTTAGCTTTCTTCCTATTTCGGTGCGATACGACCTTTCCAGATGCCAACTCTCTGCTGTCTTCGTCCGAGTCGGCGAAACGCCGGCATCCAAAATTGTGCTCGCTGTCTCTGCCACAACTAGAGCCGAGATCATAAAAGTCTCTAAATTCTGAGTCTGGCTTGCCAATGTCGATCCGACAGTGTGACTTGCCCGTCATGTGCTGCCGGACGGCCTGGGCTGTGTTCCTGACGGAGCTGCAGTAGAGACACTCCTTGTACTCGACCATGGCGAGATGACAGTATTTGATCAACGTCTCCAGGTCTACTATCAGACTTTCGAGATTTGGAATAGAGAGCCCATGGCGCTTCTGCATGTGCAGCATGCTTTCTGCGAATTCTGTGCTGAGCTCATTGCAAGAGAGGCACTGGCTGGGGTTGAAGATGTCCTGGGGCGCAGTGTCTTCGCCGGATGATCCAGTGTCATGTTCATCTGTGTCTGAGTCTGAAAGAGATGCCTATTGAAGTCTTTTGCTGAGAAATTCAGTGGCGTTCTCGAGTTCGGCGACGGGAATCGACCGCGAGACCGATAGTTCTGACATGATGGGATGATGGAGGCTTCTTGAGCTATCCAAGGAGTGTCTTGCTAGACATATAACACCTTAGCGACGGGGGAGATGATGAAGACTTGGATCATGTACATGCTGATATAAAATGGGACTTCATGGCATTTTCACCGGTCTTAAAATGTGCGGTTAAAATACAATATCCACGAGCACAAGGTCTAGACCCAAGTTCGTTGGATGGAAGGAAGAACAAATGGGCCCAGAACGCCGCTGAAGTGCTTCACGACCTTCCTATTTGCGTAACTTGCCGTATGACTGCATAAATAGTGCTCAAAGAGGCAGTGGAGTGGCGGCGCGGGATACTTTTGAGTATCAACCAGTAGGTCTTTCGCCGTGTCGCATGGAGGAGATTACCAACAAAACAGACTTACTCATATTCGGTCAGCTGGAAACTCTAAGTATACGAATACATGTAGCGAATGTGGGCAAAAAAGGATGTCACGAACGGCGCATTTCCATGTTTCTTTGGAGAGGGGTTCTCTTCAATTTTTGTGGCGTGACATCGAACAGAGCAGAGCTACGTCCAGGGACCTTACACTCTAGAAAAGTGGTAGTACATGGTAGACTTACATTACCAGCGCGATTGAGAATCAGGCTTGCGTGTATAGGAGCACTCATTACCATGGCACTGATACTATCCCATCGACTGCTGCAAGGCGACAGTACATCCGAGTGCGGGGGAAGAACTAATCAGGCGTTATTCCGATTTATTTCCACTATATCCGCAAATCAAAAAATTCATATCTCGGAGAATTTGGAGAAAAGCTGGAGACCATTGTACTGTCGCCTTGTAGCAGTCGATGGGATAGGTACCTTGTTCAAGTGCAGGGATTGAGCTAGACCATCATACTCATAACAGTTCTTGGTGCATTCCACATATCAAGTCAAATTGCCTGAAACTACATAATGTCAAAGATGATTATCTAGAAGGCTTAATGACGGGAAGACTAGCACAAGGCCAGGAAGGGTTGGTCTCTGGCTTGCCAAACTCCACATTGCCAACAATGGTGTAAATGTTGTTGCAGAGCGGCATCTTGACGTAGCCAGGCACGCGAATGCCGTTTCCAAACCACAAGCTGGATCCCTCGCTGGGCTGTATGTTGGTGTAATTCATGTTGAAGTTGTTGTTCATCCGGCCGCCCTCGACCCAGCCTCCATACACAGCGGCGACGATGTCTTCCTTTGTGACACCACCCCACTGCTTGCCATCCATGGTGTCCGTGCCAAAGAGGGCAGAGAAGGGGTTGTTTTCACTGGGTCTGATGGAGGGGTGACCGATGCTCAACTCCACACCCTCGTTTCTGATGTCGAGCAGATAGAAAAGGGCGCCGTTGTAGCAGGCAGCAGCCCTCTCGTGTGAGTCGGCAGGCAAGAATGGCCAGAGAGAATCGTCTCTCTCGGTCTTGCCCATCTTGCAGGGGAGACCGGTTTGGCTGGTGCTGCATGTTAGTAACGGCTCGTTGAGGTGCGCTAGAGAGTGGGCAACATACAGGACGAAGGGTCTCCGAGCCGAGGGAACAGTCTCCCAGGCAGCAAGCATGAGGTTAGGGTAGAATAGCTTCTTGATCACCTTGGACATCTCCCTGAAGTCAATGTCGTCGGGGGTGGCAGACATGAGGCCGTTGTCCAGCGCGGCAGTCAAGAACTTGATCGTAGCGTCATCCCTGGGAGTAAAGATTCTCTTGAGGTACTCGACCTCAGCTGCCTTCCAGCTGTCGAACACGTCGCCCATCATAGCAGACAATGTTCCATAGGCAGGCTTGGGTGAAGCACCTCTGTTTGCTGGCGTCAGTGATCCGAATCATCGTGAGCTATAATGTATGAAGGTTGAGACTTACGGAAGGAGGAAATCCTTTCCAATAGCCCAACTGGTGAAGATTGTGTAACTGCTGGTTGTGGTGATTTGAGATCGCATTGTCTGAGTGAGGAAACTCTGGAACAGGGCCGAGTACACAACTTTTCAAATCGTTAGCTTTGATAAACCAATGACATTAGAGAGTTCTTCGGGAGACTTACAGATGTTGTTGGTGTAAGCTTGCGCAATACCAACGACTCCGTAGATGACGTTGAGCATAATTCTCTGCATTCTCGCCGAAGAGTCGCTCTCTGCAAGAGGGACAGAGAATTTCTCGGCAAAGAGACCCATCTCGGACTGAATGTCCATCTGTGCCTGGTCGAGAGCCTCGAAGTACCGACGGTGGAACTGAGTCGGTCGTTAGTCGCTGTTCGCACACGTACAACATGTAATGTCTTCCATTGGGATGTGGGACTTACTTGGTGCATCTTGGAGAAGGAGTTGAGAATCAGATGGCCAGCGGGGTACTTGGTATCCTCGCACGTCAACGACGTTGAGCAAGGCACGTCAAGCAGCTGCGTGCATCGCCACATCTCCGGGCCGCCGAGATACCACGACGCGAACTGGCTAAACTCGAACTTGACCTCGTTCGGGCCAGAGTCGTACTCCTTCCAGGCCTTGAGTACCTCGTTGAGGGCCTCAGTGGCGCCGGCTGCCGCCCATCTCTTGTCAGGCAAGGCCTTTGCATCAATGACCGTACCTTGGCACTTGACGGTTTTCCAGTCCACGGCGGCGGCGGCTAGAGCCGTGGCTGAGGATAGCCAGACGGCTACGAATGAGAGGCGCATTGGGAGAAGGACTTCGTATCGAGACTGAAGGGACGTAGAGGGTTGCAGAGGAGCTCTACCTGCGAGTATCAGCTTGATCCGAAGCTGCTGGTGACTGACATAGTCTTATACATTCCTCATCAGGCGTCTCCATGATGGGCAGTCAGTGAACTCAGAAGTCTGGGGCGACGACGCATAGTGCTTGCCTGACACATCCTTAGTCCGTCCGCAACTTTTTCGCTGGGAAAACCTAGACTTGGCAAATTGTGGAAATTCAGTCTGCGGTAATTGACAAGACTTCACGATTGTCTCTCCTACGGAGGTTTCCGAAACTTTGATCGAAAATCTGATTAGATGTGATTGATCACTTTATTTCCGTTAATCTCGGTGACTGATCGGCAATAAGGCGGATTGCTGAGCACGGGAGTTGTAACAAGGATAGGGGCGTTCTGAAAAGTTTATCTAGACTTTAGTACCGACATTGACCAAGACCTGGCTCGTCAAGCTGGCTTGCATCTCTAGTAGAGTATGTGCTATTGAAGTGTCACTAGCAAACATTTTCGAGGGATCAAAAGAATCATTGACGACTGATACGGGGCAACTCTTTCAAACTTCTGCATCTCGAAGTCAACTCTTTTCTTCCAGGTTTATGGCACTTTGAGGTAACGGGGACATGAGTTTCTACTATCGCCAGCCCGGGGAACATCGTCATATCTCTCCTTGCTAGGCTGTCTTCGCAGAAAGCATTGAAATGGTGGAACTATCCAGGTGCTCGCGCTCATGTTATATTATAACGACGAATCACTTCGTGACTAACTCGATCACATAGCTGGGCAGAAAATGGCATTTTTTTCGCCTTTTTGTTTACCGCATGTTTCGCTATCCTTCTCATTCCTCGCTGGGTTGATCGCGGTTTTGAGAGCTGATCACTGATGGGGCCAAGCGTTTTTGCGTTTTTACGTTTCTTTCAAGTCTGTGCTTCTGACAACGATCAACAAAAGTTGTTGCCAAGACCATGTTGAAAAATTCAGAAAAGCTTGTCATGGGCATTTTGCCCTGTCATCGGCCCAAGCATGAGCTGATTTCTCGTAGGCAGATCTAGGTTAACAGTGTTGTTGGTTCGATGCCCGGTACCTGTCTACCCTGATGGGCAAAAACCTTGTCCTCCCAGGACGAACTGCTCCGTCGCAGAAAGAGCGAATATCTCTCGGAAATGAGCGCCGCTGTGCGACAATGAGGCGGACCATGACTGCAAAGAAGAGGTGGATGAGGGTGCGAGGAGAAGCTGACGGAGACCGAGCCGATACGAAGGTTGTCAACCGACTGAGACTAGCAATAGGTTTCTACATATAATAGAGCTGTGCTGGGGACTGGCTTTCGAGCCCGTGGCCATTTGTGTGGTCCTACCTCCTTCCATTCAATACAACGAGCACTGGGTCGAACTTCTCCATCGAACAACTCGTAGTTTACAGATCAAGATAGAGAATGTTGCTGTTCACGAAAGCGTAAGTTACCCTCAACGATCAAACACAAACGCGACATGATACTTGTAAATTCGAGAAGACACTTTGCTAATATCACGGCAGCAACATTTGGGCTTGTTTGGCTCTGGTCCAGCTATGCTCTGCCACCGCGATTGACGTCACCGGTCTCAGCCCGCGTGGTGCCTACCGTGACGACTCTGGCAGTTCAGACTGTCTTCAAGTTGGTTGTGATACCTCGGTCTGCGCCAAAGACCCTGTCGATGCTCTTGCTGTCGCTTCGAAGGGAGTGAGTCTCATCTTGGGTCCCGATTGTGCTGGATGGGCTGAAGGTAGTCCTTCCGTGGTGCAGGGGGACAAGTCGTGCCCTGCGGGAACACAACTCTGGCGTGGAGATTTGAGGGTTTGGCGCGCGTGGAACAATGTTGGAACGAAGTTCACAACCACATTCGTTGCATGGGAACAGTTCAAGGGTGCTACTTGCTGGGGTAGGAAGGATGTCACTTGCGTCAAGGGCCCAAAGCAAGTCCCGGATCCGAACACCGGCTTATGCGGACCATGGGCTCTGTAAACTGACTTCGGGCATCACTCGAAGGGATGACATGGGAGGCTATCAAAGAGACAATCGCGTAATTGCATAGATAATATCCAACCTCA